GGACGGTCGCTTTTTTTTTTTTGGTTTCTTCCCAAAAACCAAAACTCCGAGTGAGCAGATAAATAAATCCATCATCCACCACTAGCCATTAAAACACAACCTAGTTTGACGCATCAAAGCTCAGCTGTTTCTGGTGGTGTATATCCTATATAGACCTTATCCATTTTATCTTATTATACGTCCGGTTTTAACGTTTGTCAAATTTCAGTAACATTAACAAAGTTTCAACAAAAAAGTAAAAATAATATTAAAATTATTTAGCACATTTCAAAATCACATTAATTGTAAGGAGGAGCTCCTCCTCAACCGTAAGGAGCCAAGCTTTTTCATTATATTTTTACTTTTATTCTTCTCTTGAAAAGAAAAAAAAAACCTTAAAAAGAAGGTGTGATTATGGGCCTTTTGAACCGGCCTCATAGGCCTCTGGGTTGCATTAGATCGAACTCAGCCCTCTCTTTTTGGCTGGGCTGAATAAGAGGCAGCCTTAAGGTCCATCATTTTTATTGTTTTCTTTCTGGGAATGGGAGGCTGCTCAGCTTTCACTGCTCTATCCCTGCTCTATCTCTCTCTCTCTGTAAAACCTATCTATCTATCTATCTCTCTCTGTAAACCGTACTTCATCATATACAAAAACAAACACAGTGGATGTAACCTCATTATGGGTAAACCACTCAAATTCGTGTCTATGTATGCGCGACAGGGCAATTGTGATTTTATCGTCTAGCGGTGTGGATCAACAATTCGGCATCAGCATGGGACATACTCAACAACTTCATGCTTGTCTTCGGTTCCCAAATTTTCCTTCTTCAATAACTTGTAAAATCCGTTATGATTTACGGAATTTAAGAATATCACAAGGATGCTTCTCGAATTTTCCACACGCATGTAGATACACAACAACCTTTGTCCAATATAAAATACTTTTTTTTAATACGAGCAGTAAATTACTCTAAATTAATCTAATTTATGAAAGTTGAATTCAACTTGAGTACAAGATGAGCAAGCTCCCTACCCCAAGTAACCAAACTAACCTAACCCACATTTTAAGCTTAAGGGCCCAAGAATACATCTGTGCATACGAATTTTTTTTGAAGAATAGATGCAGTTGCTAATTCATGATTAACATGTATAGAATGAAAACTTCATTCTCAATTCTATGAGAATTATTATGGACACTTTTCATTTGCTTATTTTTTATATAAGTTTTATTTTCCCAAAATGTCTCATAATTTTTGGCATAATTCTTATTCTGATGATCAATTCAACTTCTGATTTATAAAAAAAAGAAAAAAGAGATATACATTGATTATATTTAATCTCTTCAACAAGTTTATTAATCCTAAAGTGGACAATATCTACTACAATATAAAATACCTTGAAATCTAAGGATGTGGAGTAATGTACAATGACCATACTATCCTCGATTCTTTCTATCTATAAAATACTTTTGCCAGAGTAGTTGGAATATATCGGACATTTTATTGACACCTCTTTATTTATTTATTTTTATATAATATTAACGTTATTCCCATTTCATACAAGTTTTTGTGCATTTGAAGAGTTATTTCAACAACGAACGAGAGTAGGACCATTTGATGGTTACCCTAGAAGCGACACATTTACTTAAATAATTATCAATTAGCCAGATTTGAAGATGCCTACTTTCGTCCTCTTTATTAATTGTCTTGGCCTTTCTAATTAATAATTATTATTGTTCTAGCTACCCTCTGTCCTTTACTTAATAGGTGCAATGTTCATATTATGTGGCTACTAACTCATAATTAAATTAGTAGTTTGTTTAATTAATTACGTCATATATAATTGTCCTCCCTAGCTTCTCTTGCTCTCTTGCTGCCCAATATAAAATAAAAAATAAAAAGAATTAAATTAGTGGATATATATGAGAGCAGCTCTGGCTTAGTTCTCTAATTGAGATTAATGGTGATGGTACCACTGCTTTCTTTGCATATTCCTTTTCAGTGAACTGATAAGATTTTCCTGGCAGAGATTGTGGCCAGCCACAGTCCAAGCCAAAAGCCAAAAGCCAAAAGCCAAAAGCCTTGAGGTCTTTCATTGCCAATGAAAGGATTCTAACATCCATGTGCATTAATAATATTATGATCTTTCCCCGCAAATGTACAAATATGAATCTCTTTATCTTTTTCTAAAGATTCTTAATTTTTTTTTTGGTTTTAAATGTTGGTTGATGGTGGTGCTACAGAAGTGCACTTCCTTCCAGTCCATCTTTCATTTTCTTTCTGTGTTTGCTAATCTATGTCGAAATAGACTTGGAATTTTGAGTGCTCTCCTAGCTACTATCACTCTCTTATCTTCCCGTACAAAATGAAGTGAAAGTCACTTGATTATTAACCACCTTTTTCATCACCCTTGTTTTTTTTATAGAAAGAAAGGAAATCTCTTTCTGTTTTTGGTCGATTAATCGGAAGCAATTGTTACAACAAAGTCAACAAATAACACAATTTTTAGGTATCACTCTCTTGTCATTCCCTATAAAATGAAGTGAAAGTTACTTCAGTACTTAAGCGCATTTTCCATTATGATCACCCTTTTTGTATAGAAAGAAGGAAAAATCTCATCAATCGGAAGCAATGGTTACAACAAAGTCATTAATAATCCAATTCATAGCCACTTTGACCTTCTTCTAATCGGAAGCAATGGTTACGGCAACATCATTATTAATACACAACTTCTAACTATCCTCTCTTATCGTACCCTATAAAATAAAGTGAAAGTTACTTGATTAATTAAGCACCTTTCCATTCTCATCACTTTTTTTAATATAGAAAGAAGGAAAAATCTCATCAATCGGAAGCAATCGTTACAACAAAGTCATTAATAATCCAATTCATAGCCACTTTGACCTTTTTCTAATCAATAAAAAAGACTGTGTTCATGTAAATTAAAAAGGACAAGAGCAT